TGAAGTCTTCACCTCTCTATCATGTGTAAGACATATATATGTGTGTATGTGTATGACTGTGAGATGTTTTGAAGTCATCGATAGAGATGAAAATGAACTGTGCTTCACTAGGTGAGTAGGCTAAGGAGCAGCATGAAGAGGCTAAATGTATGACATGCGAGGAATAGATGGAAGTTTAAGGCAGTATATGAAAGTGGAGCACCTTGGCTGAAAGATGGAGAATAGATGAATTATGAAAGCATTGTGGTTTCCAGCCCACCTAGGAAAGATGGAGAGCAGATAATGGCTTTCACCAGGAAACAGTAATAGGGAAAAAGAGACTTGGGGAGGCAGGGGACTTTCTGAGGAAAGAGATGTGACCTTTACACTGTGATAGGTAGTTAGGATAAGAGAGGATCAAAGCAGTGCTGTGTATGTATGTATTGTGGGCACACATTAGTGCAAAGGCTGTCTCTGAGTGAATTTAAAGTCTTTACCTAGAGACAAAATTCAACACGTGAATAAACTGCACCAAATGTGTGGAAAATAGTGACTCTGGAGGTGGAATATAGTAACAAGAGAGAGATGGATTTTACAAGCTGTGCAAAAGCTTTAATGGAGAGAACTGAGACTGATCCAGGTAATGGAGACATGAGGAAAGTATCTGACACACACGCATTTTCCCCTTTCTGTATGAAGAAAAAGGAGAGGCATGGGAAAAAGGTCACTTACTTGACTTGATAATATCAAACCTCCTGCAAGGCCTCCAGCAGCCCTCTTGTACACAAACAGGTGTACGGGAATGAGGTTTGAAGAAAGAGCAAGTCCAACATTTGGGAGCTGTCTGCTTCATCCCATGTAGATTCACAGAAAACCTCACACAGAACATCACTGTGCTAAATACTTATGCTCAAGTGTTTTCCCACCCTTGTGGGTAGCCCTATGTCCCTGGTCATTCCCTAGAGATAAGCACAAATTGACTTCAAAAACACAGCAGAAGAGGAACGTTGTTACTATCCCTTTATTCAAACCACTTCCCATGGGATTTTCAATGGAAGAAAGCAGCTGACTGTGGGAAATTAAACATTGTGAAGCTATGAGCAGAATTTATTATGAGCTAATGCTATCACAGTAGAACAACACCTGAAAATGTCCCCAGGAGTCTTTTAATAATAATTTTTAAATGGATTTTTCTTTTGAAGGTGGACTAATGTACAGTGTCTGCGTATATGTATGTTATTATTAATCTATAAGAATTTAGCGGTAATTATCAACTTAAAAAATCTATCAAAGACTAATTGGGTGTATTTTTGTTGGTTTCTACTGCCTATGAAAATGAAGTTCTGCATTTAAAATAGTGGTCTATGAATCATGGAAGCGTTTCTTTTTTAATTAAGGAGATATTAAATAATGATCCCCATTTTGGCAATGTGGTCAGTTACTATATCACTGCTGGAATATTGTGGTGGTGCTCACCTATTTTTCAGAACACATTCATAATAATGAGCTGAATTTTTCTCTCAACATTAAATTGCTTTTAATGTGAAGCTAAATAGGAAATAAGTACCATGAAGCCAAAGCTTATGTATTTACTTCTGCATAATGCTGTGCTCTCCAAACCTCTTCTCTTATTAAACCATAGATGATCTTAGTTTGGCTGAAATCTTTATATCAGTTTATGATATGAGATTACCAGAATGTTACCATTTTTTGAAGATATGGTATCTCCTCATTTTTCATAAATACTAATTAAACAACTCAGGCTTACGTCAGTGCCAAGATTCATGTCAGCAGTTAGTGCAACTTGTTATTGTAAGATTAGTTCTGACACATTCCTTCCAGCACAGCAAGCAGTGGGATCCTGTGCAACACTGGGAAAAATTCATCTCTCAAGAGACTGCCAGTAGTTATCCAATAGGAAGGAAGACTGCTTTCTTTAACAAGATTAAAAACTCTCTGCTGACATCCTCCCTAACTGAATCATCTCAAACTGTCTCACCACGCAGAAGGAATGAACGTATCACTCATCACCTAGTCTTCTCCCTTTACGACACTCTTAGGGCATTTGTATTATAACATCTATACACTGTGCCTGATACATGGTTGTGGGGCTGGTTTAAGGAGCATTCTCTGGCCTGGTCAGGGATCATTCATAACTGTAATAATTGGCAATGATTTCCTGACTACAAGAACACTGAAAGAAGCTTGCTCCTTTGAGCAATTTACTTGTTGTGAAAGAGATGTGAGGGAGAGAAATGACCTTATTCTGTTCAGCTGGCATGCACGCTGCTGATTCAAAGGCATTCACTGGGCTCTGCTTAAAGGGGTGCTGGTAGTGGTGTCTAAATGCTACTGTTTGAGTTAGCTGAGATATCATTATTTCAGTGCCCAATAGAAAACTAAGTAGAGAAGATGAATGGAAAAGCTTAAAATACACTTTAAACTAAGCACACGTAGTTTCAGAAAATACAAGGAATTTGCGAAGTAATGCCATCTCATGCAGCTTGCAGAATTCATAGCATAAGCGTCCAACACAGAAATGTTATGGCAGCATGCAAACACTGGTATTTTAAGAGCTGTATAAAATGTTGTGTCTCCTTAGTAGAACTTATCCTCAAAAGAATTGCTTGAATTGTTCAGATTCACAGGGGTTCTGTTACAATGCCTTTTGGGTACCATTTCATTTTAGTCTGAATGCTTGTGAAGTTGTGGAGTATGGTGACAGGGAGATACGGATAGACAATGCTTCAACGCAATACAGAGACCACTTGCCCAGCAGTGCACTGTGAACCAGTATTCTGTCTTGTTTCACAACATGTTAAGACCCAGATTTTTCAGGACAGTGTAAGCATTTGTACTTCCAGTTGGCATATGCAGTTGCTACGAGTGTGTGCACAACTGTAATAAAATGTAAACTTAAGGGATGGAATACATGTGTAATTTGGGCCTGTGTGCCTAGAGTAAACAGTGTACTCACTCAAAATTGGACTTTAATATTGCAGTTCTGCAAACCAGTCTAGCCTGAAAACTTGGATCCTCACAAGAACTGAGGCATACATTAGCATTACTGCCTATGCTATTCACTTTTCTCTCAAATTTTTTTTCCTTAATGAGGTACCATTTATTTTGAAAAGGCACTGAGCATCCACAATCAGAAAGTTATTAAACAGGTAAGCTTTCTTTATCCTCCTGTTTGCTGCACTGATGTGAAGTGAGTATGTGAAGCTTTGCTCTCAGTTTGGGTAGCTAATGATGAATTTGGAACTCAGTATTATTCTGAAGAAGAAAATTATTATGATAGAAAGTGGTCTGACTGATCCAGGAGTCGCATCAGATTATACTACATTAGAAAGTGCGTTTAAACCCTGTAATCTGTAATCAAGTGCTACTTGGAATCAAGTGTATCATTCAGATACTGTCTTGGGCCATGTGTCTAAATGCATATTGGAAAATAAGCAGTTAAGATCAAATGCCGAGATATGTGTCTTCCAGGTGGTGTGTTTGTGATGCTGTTCCGAACATGCTAGTGCAATGAAAAGAGGTATACACACAAGAGATGATAGAACAAATTTTAATTTCTGTCTTTATGACATACTGCACATCAAGTGGGAGAACAAGGCGTCTGTATAGAAAGCAAAGTTGTGAAGTGTGATGGCACTTTTGCTTTGTCACGCATGCTGCATAAATGATGGATTACTCCAAGCAGTGTCTTCTCTGAAGAACCTAAGCCTGCACAACTGCTAGTAGGCTGGGCAGGTATTGGGCTCAGATAGATGCATGAAAGCCTTGAGTTTTCTAAACATCCTGTACTGGAGGGTACTTCTTAGCAACAGCTCACGAAGGGAGCAGAGATACAGTGGTTCTGGCTGGGTGCATCAATCATCATCTTTGTTATTATCCATCCAAAATGGAGGGGTGTTGTGATAATCTCTGCTGGTTTTAAATCTGCAAGCGTGGAAGAAAGCTATATCACAAACAAGTCCTGTTTGTTTTGGGGATTTTTTTGCTGAAAAATGCTGAAATCCTACACTAACTACAACTGTTTTTAGGAAAGGTTTCAAATGTTATCATAAAAGGCACCTGCACAGTTTTGGGGTTTGTTTTCTTTTAAGGTAGAGAAAAATGATTTCAGTCTATTCTCAGGTAATACTAACACTCAGATCAAGAAATACTGCATTAGCAGATGTGGCACTGCAACTGGAGACAAACTAATTGGGGACACATTTTTAAACTCTAAGAATTATCCAGAGATTTTAATTTGTTTGTTTCTTTGATTTATTTACTCTGAGATCTGCATATTGTAGCTTAGACAGCACATCTTTATGTGCAGAATAATATCCCAAGGGTATGGGAAGGAGAGTGCTCAGAAAGGCTCTTATATCAAAGGAAAAGGGCATAAAAAGAGAAATTAGTCTCATTAATGTATAGCAAAGAGGTGGTAAAATTAATGATGACTCAGAAATTGCTGAGGTGAAGTCTGAAGTTTCTTTCTTCAAGCATTTTAAAGTTGTGAATGTACAAACATTTTGTGTAGGACATATGGAAGAAATGAAGCTTTTATTTCTGCTTGCATAACTCAAAAACTGATGAGTTTATAGCAAAATAAAAAAAAAGAAAGGAAAAAGGAAATAGGAAAAAGGAAAGGAACAAAGCAAGTATGGCTGGGACCAAGCATGAAATGTTTACATTTACAATAAATAATTTGTTTTATTTTGTTAGAAAGTTTTAGAAGGAGTTGCAAGTAACTGGGAAGGGGAATCTGAATGAGAAGCAGATTGTCACCTTCACAGATAACTAACTACACATGAGCACAGATATAAGGTATTTGGTGCACGCAAGTTCCTCAATTTAAGCTTAAGAAGTATGACTTATTCTGTCCTTGTGCTTAAATTAACTGCAGTTTCAAATACATAATGTACGTATGCTGTACGTATGCTGTAACACTGGGAAGGTTCTTTTTGAAGTGTATACTACTGTTTATTCTGTTCACTGTATTGTTGACAGGTATGCAGACTGCTGACTGTTACTGAAAGCTGACAAAATAACTGGACTTCTACCGGAAAGAAATAATTAATTCTTTCCCCAAAGCAGAGATTGTTGTTAACTATTCCAGAACGGTAACTGTTAAAGCATCCACTCTCAGAGATACTCTAATGAAGACAGAAGGTTTATATAGGCTTGGCTAGTCCCCATGGTAACAGCCTTTCTACTGGGTTACCATAGGAATCGTCAAAGCCTTTGTAAGCCTCCCTTAATAGAGCATATACGCTTTCCAGGCAGACTGGAATATCTGTTAGAGGATACACCTCCTGTTGTTAAATATAAATATAAACAGATTTTGTTTTGGAGTGGTACTCATCTCTGTTTAACTAGCTACGCTACTCTTTACGTTAGAGTTATATTAAACATTGGAGTCACCTGTGATACAGGAAAACATGTGAGAACTGAATGGTTTTACGAACAAGACAACCCATATATGTTTGTACCTAGACTGCAGGGAACTGCAGGCAAAAATACTGTTCTATACAGTAGCCCAAACCTCATAGTACATTACCCTTTCACCTTCCTGTGGACATTGCAGAGCTTTAGTCAGTCTGAAGCCTTGCTGGACTGAAGTTATACAACAGGAAACAAGCAAGAAATGGAGCCAAAGGAAACAAACAGAAACCTCAGCTGAATGAAACAAGCAGAAAGCAAGCCAGTGAGTGACTTCAGCACTGTAAGTCTTTTAAGACAGCTATTGTTTTGAACTTCTAAATAATGTTTCTTGAAACTGTTACCTGGGCACAGTAGTAGTAGTTTCTTTTTCAACTAGTCAGGAATTGGAGTTTCACATCCTTGATCCTGGGCTTTGTAAGAACAGGGAAGTACGGTGGAGAATTGCAGGTTGTGAGGCAACCATGCACCTACTTGCTGGGCTTGTCACCACGGGCTTCATTTTATTCAGAAGACCTTTACAAATGAAAAATTTTCATGTAATTTTTGGTTCTGTTTAAGCTCCTAGGATTAGCACTGTGTTCTCCATACAGAGGAATGTCATTAATAAGATGACTTATTAAGGAAATCTAGCCAACATCTTTAGGGCTTGTTATTTTTCCAAACAAATGCTAGCTACAAGGCTTTCTACTGTAAAGCTAACAGCATGATAATGCTTTTATATTCTGCTTTCCAGTTGGCTAAATTTCATTATACAGTTTGGTCTTATAAATCAGTGAAGCTGAATTGAAGGACATGGTCTTACAGGATGGCACTAGCAGACAATTTGGCCCTTGAGTTCCAGTTACCAAGATACCAGCTCCTACATATGTAAAGATCTCTACAAAAAGCCATGGGGACTACTTATATGCTTTGGTTTGGCATGTGCTTCCTTGTCCTTCCAGAGCAAGAATTCTGACTGGAGAAAACAAAGGTTTGGGAATTACCTGAAAATGTGTTTATTTTAAAATGGATAATTGGAATTGCAGACTTGAAAATTGCCATATATTGTGGTAAGCTTACACAGATGGTATGGCAAGGCATACATCATGCATTATTCTTTTCCAGAGCTGGTAGAAAGGCAATTTATTTTTCCAAGGAAGATATTTGAATAAAGCCAGAAATGTCACTGATTTCACAAGTAACAGAGGTGCCATTATTAAGGTTGTTTTGGACACCCTAGGCCAAAGATGATCTCTCTAGTTACCCAAAAGCAGGCAGTAAAATATTGAGGATAGCAGTCATCCAGAAGCAATTTGTGAGATAGAGGTCTATTTACAGAGGATGAGAAAAAAGAGATTTGTAGAAGAGTTAATAAGGGTTTCTTCTGTGCATTGATAATTAAAACAGCTGTTAAAACAGCTGTTTTAACTGTCCTCTGCCAGTTATGAGTTACTATTGCATTAAAGTTGATCCCATATTTTTGGTTCCATTTTATGAGCTGACAGAAGTCACAAAGATGGTGTTTGGAGCAGCAAGAGAGGCAGGATCATGTAGGGTAGGGTCTAATAGTATGAGTGCTCTCCAATGTGCTCTCCCACTCAAAATGTGGAATGCTTACTATTTTTGGAGGTCTGACTTCCCTAGCTGTGCATTGTCTTACCAGAGCGAATAGTTGCAGGACTACCTGAAATAAAGCTCTAAAAATAAAGGTATGACTAATTAATTGTATGATTCAATTAGTTATGTGTCCACCAAATGGAACAATGCAGCTTTAATTTCAGGCTTTTTATTCTTTGACCACAAGAACAAAAAATATGATGTGGCACAGATAACATTCCTTAACTTACTATAGTTATACAGCCTCTAAAAGGCCCCGTAAAAAAGGCTTTCCGTGCGAGCACACTCAGGAGGTAAACTGCTCCTATTTGCCCCACTCTTTGCCACTGGGAAGTCCCTACAGGCTTAATGCTGCAACAACTATCACTGCAGCTTTTTGGAGGTGGGAAATCCACCAGTTTTGTGACTCACGTTTTGGGATTGTGTGTCTGCAGTTTTTCACACGTGTGTCAGGTTGTGAAGAAGCCATGGCACTCACTGTGGCCTACCAGTGAAGTGGCCAATATGTTTTGTATGTGTTTGTGTTTTGCGTAAGAAATCACTCACAATCAAATTGTATTCTTGCACAAATCATGGCACTTGAACAATTTGCCTGGCCTGTGGGGCATACACCACACCTGATCCATTACTGAGGTACTGAAACGGCTAGAGTTGGAGTGAACATATTTGGCAATTTTACGGCAAGGAGACCTCATTCTAAACTTCATGTGTAGACTATCTGCTGACAGATGCACTGCCTTTCTCAGGGCAAGAAACTGGGCATAGCATTTCTGCTCTGGAGGAACAGCTCTTTTCCAAAGGGTAATGTGGCATACCTGGGTTGGAAGGAGGCAATGAGCAGGTGCCAGCACAGGGACAGTACTGTTCTGATGCCCGTGTTGTGTGCTGTTGTCAGTAGATGATTCCTTCCATTTTCGCCATGTGGTTCCTCACATGCCATGCGAGCTGTATGGACTGGTAGGATTTCATGTTTCTTCCCTGCTCCCCACCACCTCTCTTTTGCTTTGACACTACTGTGAACTTACGGCCCTGTGCCGGCACCTCCTGTCCTCACTGTGACCTGACAGCACTGTGCAGCTGGCCCCAGCATCTACTGGACTGCAGAGGCACTGAGAAGCCACGTGTTACAGCATTAGAGGAACTTACTCCCTTTGCTTCTGTGCCTGCACACATCTCTTCAGACTGGTATGGCAGTGCCTTTTGCCATCTTAAAGCCTTTGTATTCTGCTGATGTTGGCTGGATAAGTCAGGCCTGAGCTGGTTTAATGTTCATGGGTACTTTTTAACTTGAGGGAGAATATGTCTTAAACAAAAAAAAAAAACAAAAAACAAAAACCAGCTGAACATGATTATCTCCCTGTTTGGGAAAGCCTGGGTAACCATCCCTAGGGTAACAAGGAAAAGTGGTCACTGAAGAAATACTGCAACCTACAGCATGAATAGGAGGAGGACTGAGGTATCTGAAGCGTACGTAGGAGCTGTTGATGAGGAAAACTGAAGGCTTTTTCAAGGAAAGAGAAATTGTGTCAATGAATTCTGCCTGCTGCATCATACCTTTCTGAAAAAGCTAAAGCACTGCTGCAGGAAAAGGAGGAGGATACCAGCAGTTGCAACTTGCATGTGTAGGGGAAGCGATTAGCATTAGATGCAATTAAAGAAACTACATAGTGTTTTTCTTCTTGGAAGTGAAACATTAATGACAGGAATGAAGTGGAAAAGCAGGGAAGTAGCTTGTTTATAGGTTATAAAGCCTCAACAGATTTAACATGGGGAGAGCAAAGACTAACTGTCAAGAAAGAAGCACAGAACTGAGGGTTGAAGTGAAGGGAGGTCTAAGGTCTTTTTAATTCATTCAGCTTTGTTTGTCTAAGATATTTCAGCAGCTGAACAGCCTTGAGTGCAAATGTGCATAAGTTTCTGTTTTTTGTGGAAGTATTCATGTGAATACCCTCACTCATACACTTGATTGGTATGCATGCTTGACATCAGTTAATACCTATTAACTCAGTTCCTTCACTCAGTTAATGCCTATTTATTAAAGTATTAAGAAATTACATGTAAAAAATATGACGAAAGTAAAATGGATGTATGTGGTACGAGAGAAAGGGCAGCTAAGCTGTAGGCCAAGCTCTAGTGTAAAGAGGCAGAGTACTGCAGTGCCAAAGGAGCTGTTGAATGGAACTGTGCCAGGAAAGACAGTGGAGAATTCACCCTGTACTTACAAAGATGATCTTTCTTTCTGCCCACAGTTAGTCTGTTAACAGCTTTCAAGATCACAGTAGGCATGAGGAAGAAATAATTTCAAATGACCCCAGAAATGCTGAGTTGAAAGCAAGGAAGTGAATGTTTATGAGAAACATTTATGAAAATGCTAACTTCTGGCAATGTAGGCATCCCTTTGAAGCTGAATGGGAGGGGTAGGGTTTAAAATCATAAGAAACCCCTTAAAAATTCATGCCAAGATACAGCTTAATGGGAGCAACACAGCACTGAAAAATATTCCGGAGAGTATTGGTTGCATCCTTGTTTCACATGTATAGGGTAAAATTAAAAAGCTGCTTAGTAGGAATGATAAAGAAGATATCATCTGAAAAATCTGCCTGCTCAGATCTGTCAGCACTTATTTATTTTATTATTAGTTGGTCAAATAATGAAGCCCTAGTGAAATATTTCTTTTTTTTCTTTTTTTTTTTCCCCCTATGCTGGACTCGTTGACTGAGCAAGGGAAAACAAAATCAGAAATAACACCTTAAGGAAAAGAGTCTGCAGTCCAGGGACTAAATATGTGCGGACTGTATATATTTGTTGTCTATGGTGTGTATGATTTCTTTTCCAGAGGAGGAAAATTTTACTAAGAGCTAGAGAAGTTTCTGACATTGTCATTTCAACCTCTTTATTTTAACTCCCCCTCCCAAGTTTATAAACGTTGGTTTTTCTTCATTTTTCTATCCTAATACTGACATGTAGTGTTGGCATTGCAGAATGGGGGTTTAGGAGACAATGTTAGACAAAACAAGAACACTTTAGGTTATCCACTGTGAAGGCAATACAAAGAAGTTAAGACTGTTTAGCTCTCATATTTTGAAAAAGAGAAAAAAAAAAGGCCTTACTCTTTTGAAAGACTTTGTAACTTTTCATGTACATAAGCACATAATTTTCCAGATGCATGCTTTTTTTGCCCTCAGTAGAACTGCTACATATCTGACTCTATGAGTCTGAGGATAGGCGGCAAAACCCCACCAAAGGTTACGTCTTGTAGCAATCGCTTTATGTTATAACTTGTTACATGTTGTAAAAGATTTTCTGTGAATACTTATTTTTCTAACAGATTTGAGTTAAGCTTTTAACTTAAACTTTTTAGAGTTCTTGTGCTGTCCTGGGTTCAGCAGTAGCAGTCATTTTTTCTTCTTCTTGGTAGCTGGTGTAGTGCAGTGTTTTGACTTTCAGCTCGGGAACAGAGCTGATAACAAGCGATGTTTTGGTTTGGCCAAGGACTTTGTGAGCCTCATGCTCTGCCAGGGAGGAAGGGAAGCCAGGAGGAAGCAGAGACAGGACACCTGACCCAAACTGACCAAAGAGGTATTCCATACCACAGCACGTCATGCCCAGGATGTAACTGGGAGTTAGCCGGAAGGGCTGGGAGACTGCAGGGTTGGAGGAGGTATTGGTCAGAGCTTGGTCGGGCTGG